TTGTGACTGCCTTTTTCTCTCTCATTCCTTTATTTTTCCCCCTTTCTTACTATCTCTGCCTTTCAAGTTTTCTTTTTCATTCATTCTTTCATTCTTTCCTTTTCCTCTCCTCTGTCTCTCTTACTTTATTTTCTCTTGGTCTCTCTTCATTTCTTCACTTCTTCCTTTCTTTCTTCCTTCCTTCCCTCCTCCCTCCCTCTGTACCCTCTCTTTCTTTCGTCCTTTCTCCCTCTCTTTCCTTTATCTTCCTCTTTCTTTAGACCTCTCTGTCACACTTTTTGTAATTCTTTGTCACTTACTGTTTTTTTCTATCTTTCCTTCCTTCTTTCTTTCCTTTTTCTTTTCCTGTTTCACTCTATCTCTGTATCTCCTTATGTTCCTCTTTCTCCCTTTCTTTGACTCTGATACTTCCTCTCTCTTTTTTCTTAATTTCATTCTATCTTTCTTTTTCTCTTTTTTTCTTTCTCTCTTCTTTCCTTTCCTTTCTCTTTTTTCCTTATTCTTTCTTTCTCTCAGCCTTTTTTCTCTGTCAATTGTTTTTCTTTTTCTCTCTCCCTATCTTTATTTCTCTCACTCTTTCTATTCATGCCTAATTTCAATTTCTCTCTTTCTGCCTCTTCTTCTCTCTGTTTCTCTCTTTTATCTTTCCCTATTTCTTTCTTTTGTTCTGTTTCATTCTACCATCCTTGTTTGCTCTTTCCTTTATTGTTTTTCTCTCCTCTGTCTTTCTTTTTCTTTTTCTTTCTGTATTTCTCTCCCTCTTTTTCTTCTTTTCTCTCTTTGTTTCTTCCTATTTTAATCTATCACTAATCTCTTCATTTTTCTCTCTTTATTACTTTCTTTTCCTTCTCTTCCTCTGTCTCTGTTTCTTTGTTTACCTCACATTAATTTTCTTAATTTCATTTTCATTCTATCTTTCTCTTTCTTAAATTCTCTGTATGTCTATATCTTTCATTCTTTCAGGGGTTTGGACCTGAAATTTGAAGATTCTGTGTAGTGATGCCCATTCCTGGCAAGTTGGGAGAATAAGCTAGAGGGGATTTGCCGTTGAAATTGACCAGTAGGATGGCATCATGTTGTAATGGGTTAGATCTGTGCATTGCAAACTTGGACATTTCAGGTATAATAGGGAGTGGGTTCTGGGAAAGGGTTGGCTCTGATAGCCTTGAGTAAAGTGTAAGGTGTACTAAAGGGAACACTTCCAGGGATATGTACAAAGACTGGCTGGCTGCCTATATGAGGTGGGGAGGGCACCTAACTTCATGCATCCCAGCATGGCTGGGAAGACCATAGTGAGGGGGGCTTTTAGGAAAGATCCCAGGACTCTGGAAGGGAGGCTTTTGAGAGGAAGTCCATCCAGGTGAAGGGGCAGGAAGTGATGTAGGCTTGATGGGAATAGAGGAAGCAGAAGCAGAACCCAAGACTGGTTGCCTGCCAAATATAGCCAAGGAATTCCACCCCAGGCCGCACTGGACAGTAGGTGCTTTATTGAGGCTAGTGTGGTTACTGGAAGGGATGAGAGTTAGTTGTGGCAAATGACCGAGCTTTGTGTGGATCTTCTGGAAAGGCCATATAAGTTCTCTGAGATTCCAGAAGCCACTGTTGAAGGGAGGACCCTGAGACATGGGAAGGAATGGTATGGGCACATGCCATACTCCTGCTTCTGGCATTCACCAAATGGCAGGGACACCATATTTTGCTGGGCAGGAACCATGTCTGATCTACCTGGGAGTAATTTCATCATCTCCTCAGGATGTGTCACAAACTATCTCATGTTCTGAGGTATCATCTGAGAGTTAGATACCATGTTGACATTTAGATTGACATTACACTTCATCCCCCCAGGAGTCATCCCAAACTCAAGTTCCTGACCAGGACCTGTCTGTGGAGGCATTCCTTTAGAATGAGACCCATGGAGAGACTCATAAGGTCCTCCACTGATTTCTAAGGAAAATGGGATTATTCCCAGGTTCCATGTGGTTCTGGAGCCTTGGATCATCCTGTTCACTTCATGCTGAGCCTGATGCCTTCCATGTTCATGCCTGGTGGGGAGACCTAGCTGTTTCTCTGCCAGCTGCTGTTGAAACATCTCTTCAGGCAATCCTTAGTGGTATGGAAAGTGCTCAACTCACCCAGGACCAATGAAGACACCCTGAGAAAAGGAAAATTTTCAATCATCCAGGATTATTGGCACATCGCCTGGACAACTGACTAAAGAAAGACCTGGGCCAGATGCTGAGCTGGGGACATTTGACTCCTACATTTCAGAGTTTATCATTTCTGCAAATCCATGGAGGCATGTCTGGCTGCCTGGCATGTTGGGGTGGGAAGCCATGCCCCGTGGTGGCAGAACATGTGAAATGTTGATGCAATCAGGGTGCCCAGTTTTCACCAGGAATAATCTGGGATGGAATTTGAGGACCCCAGATCACTCCTCTCAGTGAAGTGCTGGAGGAAGCACTGCTAGACAACTTCTTGTTCCTGCTTCCACCAGTACTTTTAATAAAAGTCCTTCCGCAGTTGCATGGGAATCATGTGGCTGAGGTCATTAGTTCTTATAGACCCAGACTGAGTTCATAGAAAGTGGAACCACTTCACCTGGAGAAAACGGCACATCTCTATATGCTTGAGGGCCAAATGGAGCTCCCACATCTGTTTCAGGCTCGGGTCCCTTACCTAGACTTGGACTGAGCTATCATGGCCTGTACTGGTACTTTTGATTTTTTTTTCTGAGATCCACCTAATACCCCAGAGTTCTGCTGTGGTCCCCCACTTTGAGCTCCTGTGAATTATTTCTCCTCAGAAATATGGATGGATATCTCTGAGAATTTGTAAGGAGCATTCCTGGCACTGCAACTGCTCCTGTGATAGGCCATCAGGGTTCTCTGTGAGAGTCTGGGCTCACCACTGGATACTGGTATGTGTGGGAGATTTTGGATCTTTTGAAGAGCTGTTGCTTCCCTGGGGGCAGAGATCACTGCTCAATTATTAATGGAGCTGACATGACCGCCCACAGGAGGAACAGGCTTAGGTGGTGGTGGTGCTGGAATGGAAAGCATTGCTTACAAACTGGTGTTCTGAGAATTCTGGTTATGGTTGGCTGTTGTGGGAGAGGTTTTGGGTTATTCTGAACATAAGATACCTGTTTGTTCAGAGGGGCTGTGCTTTTCTCTGTCGTGCTTTTAGAGATATTATAGGTGTGGTAAAAGATGATAGTTTCAACCTGGCCACTCAATATACCTCTGTAGCTTTAGGCCTTCTCAGTAGAAAACATATGTAACACTTTGCGTGGACTTTTCTAAGCAGGTGTGGGCTCAGGGACAGTTGTTTGCCCATGAGAAGGAATGGGAGACCTAAGGGCTGTAGCAGTTGATGGGTCATGGAGTGTGGGGTTTGCTGAGAATCATGAGACTTTATATGGTCAGCAGAATTACATTAATTCATGCCAGAGTCATTGTTTGGAGTCCCAGGATGTCTCTGATCAAATGAGTCAGTGGATCTACTTTGTTCTCTTTTCCCTTTGCACTTGGTACCATTTTCAGCTCCATTATTTAGCCCCATGATTCCACCTGGGCCAGGGAGTGTTTTAGGGGTACAGAATCCATTCTTGGAGACACAGGGGGATGGCTGGGATTGAGTGGGTGAAACCCCCTGTTTACTGTGATTTTAGAATTTGGAATCCAGCTGAGGGTTTTCATTTTAGGACATCACTGTGGGATCATGAACCATCACCTCCTGCTTTGACATAGGGCTACTCTGTGTTTTCTGATTGACAGTTCCTCACTTTAGGGTTGCTGGAATGCATTGATTGAAATCATGACCTGGCAGTCACACATGGGGATGGCTAACAGTGTTTCCCCAGGGATGCAGAAAAAGCAACTGCTGGGAGAATTAGCAGTGCACCACTGCTTGCTTGGTGTTTCTCTTATCCTTGGCAGCCTGTATGTATTTTGCCTGTAGTTATATAGAAACAAAGCTAATAGCCATACAGCAGAATACCAAGTGTCTGTGAAAGGCTGATTCCATGTCCAGAGATATTTCAAAAGCATTGATTACCTGCAAAGGAAGATCCTGACAGCCAAGGGCACAGCCTTCCATTACTGTGCAAGAGACACAGTGAGTAAACTTTAGTGAAGCCCAGACTGAAGCCTGCATTCAGGGGCACTGATGACCAGCAGGCAGTGCTCAGCACAGAGTGCACTCAAGGTCAGACTCAGGAGTACATGAAGATATAAGTCTAGGGCTTGTCTCCTGTGTGTTTGCTTTGCCTTTTTGTTCACATTTTCCAAGGATACTTTCTATCTTATGATTTACTCTATTCTCTGTTTCCTCTGATTATCAAAGTTTCTGTTTTATTTCTCTTTTAAAAAAATATGTATGAGACCCATTATCCCCTGAAGAACATGTATTTCACTTTGGGGTCTGAAATGACAGTGACATTATCAGCAGGATCTGATCCAAGAGAGATCAGAGCACCCTTGTGACTGTCTTCCCATGTGACTCAGATCAGAATCTCACTGGGTTTCCTGATTAGGACAGAGTTTTGGATTCATTTAGTTAACAAGAGCAAGTTCAGAACAGGGTCAGATCACTGACACTTAAAACCCAACAGGTCTCAAATTTTTCCTTCCTTCTCCTATTGAACTGTGATCATCAGACTCAGAACTCACACAACTGAATTATTTTAGCTAATTTTTGTTCTTACTCACAGACTATCATTCCCACATCTCCCATTTTTCATTTTACAACCACAAAATTTTACTTTTTACCCTTGTAGTTTAATTCCTATGGCTCAGCACTTACGTGTCACTCATTGTGACAGCCTGTGGCTCCTATATTCCCCTGGGAAAGGCAAAAAGGACTTCTCAGTCTCCATAGATCAGGACCCTTCCTCTGCGTTCTGCACAAAGCATCTGGTGGGGAAAGGAATTGAACCTGAAGAGTGTGGTGTAAGACTTGCCTGACAACATGGGAGCTAAACTTTCTCTGCATTGCTTGTCATGGAGTCACCTTCATCCCCTGTGCCTTTCAAGAGACCTGCAGATGGGACACACCATTGTGTTGTGAACTCTGAAGAGAGTTTCCAGGTCTATGTGTGCTGTGTCCATGTAGCCACCTACTGCAGTCCAGCAGCAGTGGGGCCTTTGATTGTGTACTTGGGTGCTCGAGCAGCAAATAACAACAGGATCTTGGGTTGTGCCAGTCAGCAATGGCATAGTTTATTTTCTGAAGAGTGTATTTAAGCAGTGCAGACAAGATGTAAGGAGTACATGGCAGTTCCCAGGTCTCCCTTGTCCTCTGTACTAAGATTGGTTGTCACATTGCTATGGCTACGATCCCAAGTGCAGAACATCATGTTCTTCGGACTGGTCTTCCTGGTCACACACAGAGAGAAAAGGGGAGTTCAGCAATTATCCTCTTGGACTGTTGCAACCTATCTTAGGCCTGTTGCACAAAAGCTACAGTGACTCTGCTCTTTTCCAATAGTCTTTGGGGGAACTGAGGGTTTCCCACAGCTCCCCCATGGTGATTGTCACCCTTTAACAGAATCCTGCTGCATGAAGGATGACACTCTGTCCCAAAGCCCCGGATCCTGTCACCCAACACTCCATGACTCTTGTTTCTCATTCTCTGTTCACTTGGTAAAGGAAAAAACAATTTCTTATTTTCCCTTCATCACATTATTATCAAGAAAGAGAAAATTTTATATCTTAAAAAAATTTGCATATAAATAAAGTGTGCCTTAACATGACTTCTTCCACTAAAATCTATCATTCAATCAAGAGGGATTCTTATGTAAACTGAGACCAATGTAGACCTTTCGTTTGTTGAGTGACTCCCATGATATGTTTGGACACATCTGTGTCTCATTTTTTATGCAGGAATCTCTTAATTAAACATTCAGGTGACTATGATGTCCCATATTGGCCCTGAGATTTGTTCAGACCAGAAGGTCCAGAATGAACACTGTGCATCTTGTTAAAGAAAAAGAGAGAGAAGAGGAGGAATTCAAGGCATACAGGATCTCTTCTCTTCATGACGTTTTTGTTTGAGTTGCTTATATACTCTATAGAAAAGATGCTTTTGTGATTATAATGCACTTCACTCGTTTAAAGAAATAAGATTGTTCACATTTGAATATTGAAAATATTTTCCATTACACGAATAATTAGTACTCAGTTATAGCATTTTATAATTTAAATATAATTATGATAAGGTTATCAATATTAATTAAAATGTCTGAATCTGCCTCTAACATACAAAGAAGTTAACAATTTAAACAAATTCATTAAATAATTCATGTTATTTTTTAAAATTTTCTGTAGCATTGAAATTTTGAACACAATGCATAGATCTTACTGGACAAGCCCTATATAACAATGCTATTCATTCATTGATTTATTGATCTATTTTTAAACTTTTATTCGGGAATTTTAGCTCAGGGTCCTGTGCATATATTCATGTGCTCTGACACTAAGCTATACCCCCAGTGTCATTAATTAATATTTTGAATCCACACATAATATTAACCAGATAGGAGATGTCAGTGGCTTTGGTGACAGTTACAGATCTAATTGCAAGAAAAGCCCTCATTTCCACCAAACCTTAAATCATGTGTGAGAAATTAATATGACAATATTTGGTACATGCACCCAAGGTAAAATGATAAAATTAGAAATGTTCTGTATCCATAGTCACAAATATTTATCATTTATTTTTGTTGAAACCCTAGGATATTTTGAATTGTACCAGACATTATTGGAACTGTAGTGAACCCACTGTGCTATAGATCAGTAGAGTTATTTCCTCCAACAGTATTTGGAAAATGTTCCCCTTGGCTCTATCTCTTCCTGCAACTTTCCCAGTCTTCAATGAACAGTCCTGCTCTCTCTCTCACTCCTATGTGATCCATTATTTTCTTCTGCACATGAGTGAGATCATTTGGTATTTGTCCTCTTCAACTTGGCTTACTACAGCTATGATTTTGTCCTTCAGTTATATAGACATTATCAAAATGGAAGGATGCCAGTCTTTTTGGACTAAATGAATTTTCATTGTCTAAAAATTACACACTTTTTGGTCTACCTATCTACTGCAGACACCAGGTGGTTTGTGAATAATACTTCAATAAGCAAGTGATTTTATGTCATTCGGTCCTTTATATACACAAAACAATGTTTACATATATCCTTATTATTACATCTATCCATATGTAGGATTATAAAAACCTATGATAAGTTTGTTTTTAATTTTTAACGAAACTACAATACAGTTTTTGAAAACAGTTTTACTAGATGCAGGGTAAATAGCAGTGTTGAAGCTTTATCTGTCTGACTGTGAATGAGAAGAGTCAGGATAACAAGGAAGAGCAAATGAGATGAAGAGCATCAGGAACCATGTAAGAGGGGTAGAACAGCTGGAAATATGGGGAAACAGAAATGCCAGAAAGCAAATTAGGAAGCCAGTTTACAGGTCCAGGCTCAAATTCCCACCCTCAGTGGAGCTACCAATGCTTAAGCTCATGCTTATATTGATAAATACAACTTGATTCACAACCCGAACCAAACATATCAAGTGCAATCTGAAGTTTCTGGTATATGCTTCTGTCAAAAACACAACTCTGGGCCATAGGGATTGCATTAACTTCCTGTGCACTGCACTTCTTCCTCAGGATCTTGACATGATCTAAAATTCAAATTTCACAAAGTCCCAGTAATAAAATGGAGAAACATTAACACAATGCAAGAATAATGCAAAGAACACACGAACTGACACAAGTAAAGTGGTGAACAACATCATGGTCACCTCCGCTGGCCTTAATTGTTTCAATTCTGTTGGTCCTTACATCTCATGACTTCAGCAAGAAGTTGAGGACAGGACTGGGATTTGAGATTCGGAAAGGGAAGACACCCTTTCTTAGATTCAAGTCTAGGGGAAGAAGCTCCTATAAGAAACACCTCCCCTGTCCATTGGATCAGGATGGTGGAATTCACTCCTTCCCAGGCTAAGACATGGGTGATCACTGTGCTTTATCAACAAGAACAGAACGACTATTTTCTGTATAGCCACTATCTTCACACTTCATAGCCTCATGTCTGGGCTATGTTCCATAGAGATGGATTAATATGGACAAGATATATTAAGAATATCTCTCAGGAGAAACCATTAAGGATATGGAGAAATTAATCATGGGCAGGGAAGTTGTCGGTCATAGGACTCATTTTGCAGATGTCAGAGAGGCCAGCCCCATCCTGTCCACAGAAGAATGGAGGAGGTATACAATTCTCAGATTTCCACTTGAGTCAGGGATCTGTGACCTTGCACACCTGCTGTCACAGCCATTGTCAAATGCCTGAATTGGACAGAGCACTAAATTAAGCATCACTGAATTCAAGAGAGGCAACAACTCAGGGGCAAAAGGGAACCAAAGGAACCCTGGACTCAGAACATCCCCATGTAGGAGAAGAGGACATCTTATATGCAAATTATTATTCAGTGTTTAGGTTAAATCATCTCTCAATCAGTTGAAGCTACAGCTCCCTCCTCACAAAGGACATAGGTCACTGGAGAAAGCAAGGCTGTGGTCTACAAGATGAGATTGTGGGTCTTCTTCTGTGCCTGGTGACATCTCCCAAAGGTGAGTGTCCACAGTTTCACATGTGTGTCCATGACAAGGTTATGACTTCAGGTGACTGAATGCAATTTTTCTCCTTGCCTTTAGATGTCCTTTCCCAGGTGCAGCTGCAAGAATCGGGACTTGGTCTGGTCAAACCCTCACAGACCCTGTCTCTCACCTGTGCTGTCTCTGGATTCTCCATCACAACCAGTGCTTACTGCTGGCACTGGATCCGTCAGCCTGCAGAGAAGAGCTTGGAGTGGATGGGGCGTATATGTTATAGTGGAGGCACTAACTACAGCCCATCCCTCAAGAGCCACATCACCATCTCCAGAGACATGACCAAGAAGCAGTTCTCCGTACAGCTGAGCTCTGTGACCACACAGGACACAGCCATATATTACTGTGCAAAAGGCACAGTGATGCAAAGTCAGTGAGAACCCAGACAAAAACCTCCCTGAGGGGAACAGGAGGCCTGGACTGCAGGGGACAATCAAGGCTCACACAGCTCTGGGTCGCAGCCCAGAAACCTGTGCAAGAGGGAATGCCATGGTCTTCCTTTGGACTTATTGGTTTTCTTTCTTTCTTCTCCAACATCTCTCTTTTTTTGAAGTATCTCTCCTCTCACATCCTCACTCTGGCATTAAGGAGAAAGTGACTTTCTCTGTTCATGATCAAGATGGGAGTAGTTAGCTGTGCAGTCCAGAAACACATTGTCCCTACCTGTGTCATTTCCCCTCACAGCAGGAGAAAACCTGTCTCATGCACCAATGGTGGGAACTCCCCATTTCTGATCCTCAAGTCTCTGTGTTCCCTGGGCTGTTTTACCTCATCATCAACAGGCACACTCTGACCTACAATGGGCAGGTATTCCTCTACTGTATTGAGGCTTTCAGTAAAGGATGCTTAACCTGAAAACACATGTTCAAAGATTCCCATTAAATGATGCTGGAGGATAAGCTTAGAGATGAAAATCACACCCATCAATGCTAATCTCTGTGCAGGATGGGCCTCTGAATGCAGCACTGGGGTTTGTGTGCAGAGACAAGACCTTCCACTTCAACAATTAAAAATCCATGTGGATAATGAAAACAGATAGATGAAGTCCTACTTCGTGCCTACTTTCTCCTGTCCTGAATACTGCTCCCAAAAAACCAAACTCCACCATCTCCTCTCCCATAGCACATGAATTTAGAGTAACTTAACCTCCAATCCCAGAGATCCATGGAACCAGAGCTCTGTTCAATTCCTGGCATTGTTCCCTCATCTCCAGTCACAGGAGGAGATTCAATGAAAATGACACCGTCAAAGCATCAAACTCCTCATTCCCTAAGACACATGTCATGTCTCCATTCTTCCATGCACTCTACAGGGATCTGGATCATACCCTTCAGAGCCCATGATCATGTACTCATATGATTCCATGTCACACAACTTCCACTGCAGGGCCATCCTGCCTCATTTGGGGCACAGAAAGCTCCTGAATACAGGACACATCTAACTGAACACACCCCTCAGGTCAGAGGATGTCCAAATGGCCCAATCTGGTGAACAAGACCATGGGAATATGTGTGAAGGCAGTGGTCAGTGAATGGGATGGGTAGGCGGTGGATCCCTACCTCACAGTGGTATCCAGTGAGTAGAGCTCATGTTAACGTCAAGCATCTTATATCTCCATTTCTCCTGATTTTCCTTCAATTCACTTTTCCAAATTATACACACCTCTGTGCACTAAGCCAATGTGGCACAGGTGTCCAGTGACATGTAAGTCATTGTCAATGTTGTCCACTGCTAATTAGGTACTTTACTACCAGTGTAATTTTATAGTTCAACACCAGGTTTCAGCCAGATGACCCATTTCTCCATATTTGATTTCTGTGCTGATTTCATGAACAAATGAGATAGGTAATCCTCTGTGATCTGATCTTACGTTATCTTTTGAGTTTTCTGATTCCTGTGGGTTTCTGAAGCAGGTGAGGGAGACTGAGGTGCAACGTGACCTATAACACAGATAAAGTCAGCATAGATAACATCTTCCCAATAAGTGAGAGAGCTTGTTACTATAAATTTGGTCCTATTACATTTGAAATCAGAGCTTTTTGCTGCCTATGCAGGCACACTATCAGTTAAGCTTTCCTTCCTGGTCTTTTTGAACTGATTATTTTGGAGAAAGGGTGGTGCTTTTCTGAATCCTGGCCTGGACAGTGATCATCCTATTTTTCACACCCCCTGTAGCTTGGATGACATATCTGCACCACAAGGCTCATAGTTATTCCACTGAGATGTGGTCACACAAAGACTTTCTTGTCTAGGCTGGCCTGGAAACTTGATCTTCCTTACTTCAACTTCCCAACTGTACGAAACCAGTTCCTGGCTTAGTAAAATTTGATTTTTTTGATACTTCAGTTTGCCTATGTATTTAACTCTATATATGAAAACTTAACTCATCCAGTGCTGGTTTAGTGATTTTAAGCACAGTTGGTTTTGGTTAAGAAATTTTCTTTAAGTTTTCATATTAACATTACCCTATGCAACATTTGTATTTTAAATGTCTGCCAAAGGACCCCTGTGTCAGAGGATTTTTCCCTAACCTGGTATTATAGGATTGTGAAAGTGTAAGAGATGGGGTCTCATTGAGATTTTGGGTCACTGGGTGTGTGCTTTTAAAGGGGATGTAAGTCACTAGCCTCTTCCTCTCTATCTTGTTACCTGGCCATGATGTGACAGGTCTTTCCCCATCAAACTTTACTGCCCCTAGTCTATTACCCATAACAACAGCTGAGATCAATTGTCTGCCTATCAAGGACTGGAGCCTCTGTAGTCAGGAACCAATAAACCTTTTGATTATCAGGTTCTTGTCATACTGAGGAAATGCCTCACACACTACACCAATGAAATTTTCTTTATTATTGACTTCATGTCACACACATTCCTATCTACTGATTTGTTTAGAAAATATGATCTCATATTTCACAAACATGTTACTACACTTTGTCATTTTTTCATAATGGACTCTATTTGTTTGCTGTTAGCCTGTGTTCAATTACCACAGAATTACAAACATGCTTGGATGTGGTCCTGTATTACTCTATGGCCTAGTTCTTCCTCCTGGGCCATTTCCCTTCTCCTCCCTTTGAGAAGAAACACTAGGAAAAGAGTGTAGCTGAAGAGAACTTGTCCAGGGATTAAGATGATCAGAGAGGCTATTATAAATTCTGACCCTTCACTAAGAATCTACAAGGCTGCAGAGAGGATAAGGGCTTTGTGCATTTTCACAAAAGATGTGATAGTTTGTAATTTATCACTGTAACCTAAAGCTCAGCCTCTCTCCAAGCAGAGGGTGAGTACAAATCATAGGTTACTCAAAACAAAGAAAGAATTCTAGAGTTAATTGAAATCCTAATATATCAAATGTTAGAAGTAGCAAAGCCCTCACAGGAACTGACATGATAGTCACCACGAAACTATGCAATGTCAGTGAACTATGTTCAAATTGTGATAGTTATGCCAAGAACAAGGTGATCTGTGCACTGCATAGGATTCTTAGGGTAACTGAGGCAGGAAGAGCTCTCTCAGACTGGCTTCCCCACACATCTACCAGGGATGCAAGCCACAGCTGCAACTATATGGATATTAAGGGAAGAGTTAACTTTCAAAGGCCATAGGCTATTATTGTCATTATGTGAATACATAGTTTAGATTTACAGAAACATAGACATCACAGCCTACTGTGCACCTAGGCTACAGTGTAGCAGGTTGCTCCTTTGCTACAGACCTGAATAACATATTACTTACCTGAATACTAGAGTAAATTGTAGTAAAATGGTAAAGTTAAGTACAAGAATATCTAAGCATAGAAAAACATTAAATATTATATGCAAAATGTAGTTTAGCACTAGTGGATCACACTTGTAATTCTAGCTACTGAGATCAGGAAACCCCATAAAATGCAATAGCTGGGCATGATGATACATGCCTGTAATCCCATGCTATTCTGGAGACTGAGAACAGCAGTATCAGTTGCAGGCCACCCAGGCATCATTCACAAGACCCCATGCCAAAATGATGTTCATTTTTGTGCATGACTGTCAGTGAGGTGAGGTTGGTATTCCTAAAATAGAAGATCAAGTGCAGGCAAGCTTGGGGAAAAAAGAAAAATAATGTAGCTGGGCATAACTCAAGCAGTGCAGTGCTTGTCTAGAACGTGTAAAACTTGGACTTCAAATGCCATTGTTATTAATGACAACAATGATGATGATAATAAAAAGGTAAAATTGTCCATGCATAGGTCATATATCAGTAAACCGTTGTTCTTATAACAAACATTTGAGACCAGGCAACTGAACAACCAGAAGACATGCATTCCTCTCATATTTCTGTAGATTTAAGGTGTGACACAGTGTTAGCTGGCTGTGGAGCTAACCTCACCGTGATGGAAACTCAATGGCAGAACTGCGTGAACCAGAAGGATGACACAGTAAGAAAGGTTTCAGACAGCCAAGAGGGTTTGGGCTTATTCTTGCATCAACTCATTCTCATGGAAACTAACAACATTCCGAAAGAATTACTTCAATATCTGCCTAGACTAGCCCCAAGACTGGTAGCATTCCCTGTGGATACACCTGATAAAATACCCCAAATCCACACATTACTACAGCAAGTGGACCCAGGAGAGCAATCTACAGGCAATTGTGGCAGGCACATGCCACATGTGGAGCCGGAAGGACTGAAGTTGGTCAGTTAGTCAGTTAGTGGGGGTGGATTGGAGGCCAGGGCAACTCTGAGTGCACTGTTCTTGATTCAGGAGCACTGCGCCTTCAGGCCAATAACTTTGTAACATACATTTTCCTTCTACCATAATAAATTGACTTTAAAGTATTCCTTTTATTTATCAACTAAAATGTACACTAACACTCACCTGTGCTTAAACACATATCAGAACCTCCTATAACACTGTGACTAGCCCCATCCATCCAGTAATAGATGGATTCATTAGAACAACACATAAGGAGTTGTCATTTCCTGATCAGCTTTTACTTCTGGATGTATTTAGACCATCTGTGTCTCTAATTAATAGGACACAGCTCTTTCAGAAATAATGAGGGCTTTCTTGGTGTGTACCTTTTTCATCATATAATTAATTAATTTATTGTTGCAACATGAATGTTTCTGTCTACTAATGGCAACATGTCAGTATTGAAAGCCATATTTGGAAGCAGTGAGAAGAGAATATTGAGCTCTGGACAAGCTTCTGTTAACCAACTGTGAGTTTCCCCGGAGGTCATTCCTATACTTCTTTGGTACACTTTCATTTTTTCCTGAATTTCTTCAGCATTCCAATACTATTCCCTTCTAACAAAACTTCATTTGTCAGCTTATCAAGAACCTCCTAGAAGGTCCTCCATGTCACCCTTATTCACACAGAACTTGGAGGTATTGGCCTATGTCCTGTGCAAAACTGGGTGTATCATTATTTCATAGACCAAGAGTGCATAATGTTTATTTACAACAGAGTCACCATAAACATGCAGCCATAGGTTATGCTATGACACCATTACAGCTACAATATCACAGGTTATTGGATTATCTCAGCTCAGTCATCTATGGTACCACTACCATACATTGAGTATTTCATATGTATGGTATCTGCTTGAACATAAATATCTAAGTGATGTGATCAGGATGTTAGCAAAACCATTGATAATAAAAGGGAATTCTGGTAAGGCTGCAGGTGGAAATTAGGAACAGTGCATTGGAAAATGGTAGACAGGATACCCTTGAATAAAGTGGCAAAGAACTTTGCTGAAGTGTTCTCAGGGCCTTGTACTGCAGATGTTAGAACTTAGGAACAGTCGATGAGGATATATGAGCAAATGAATATCTAAACAAAGTGTTCAGGCTTTCACATGGCTTTCCTTGATGCTTGTAATAAAATTTAGAAAGAGAGAAAATCAGTAAATGTGATATAAAACTGCAATTAAAGATTTGGAAAATACTGACCTAGCCATGCTGTAAAGAATGGAGTGGAGAGATGTGTTTGGGGAGAACAGGCTGATGCCAGGCTCATGTGATGAGAAGGCTGATGTGACGGAAGAAACCAGGTATTGTTCAGTAGGCAAATGAGAGGAGCATGCAGAGATATGAAAGCAGGGCAGTGTCATGGCGACTGAGGGACATGGCATGACCTCATGACTCTGTGCAGGGTGACCTCAAGTTTCTGAGGTATACATTGTTGTGTTGTCATCCTCAGACTCCCCAGCTGTGGGTTGCTATAGTTTGACCAGGTGCAGTATGGACCTCAGTGATTGCTTCTGTAGAGGTCACAATCCATAAACCTCCATGGTGACCATGTTGGGATTACACTGTAAGAACAAGTAAACCAACAGCTGTGAGTACAAAACAATCTCCATCTAGCTTGCAAAGATGTCCAGACAGCCAGTCTATGAAAGCTGCAGCAAGCATCTCACATGCATGAGGGAGATTTCATCAAATACACTAAGTACACTGTGTGAGAGCACAGTACTGGACAAATCAGGAGTTCTTGCACACGTAGAAGAGAATGAATACTTTGAAATTTCTCCCATGTGCAAGGCTGGTAACATTCACACAAAAAACAAATGTTTTGTACGTGCACAAAATAAAATACAATGAAGTATTCTAAATATATAGCTAAAACATTTTGATAAGTGAGAAATCACATTTTCTCATATGCAACCATGATTGTCACTGTCCTCCAGAACTCTCCTATCTCCTCTGGACACTGCTCTTTCTGAGACTTTCATCACAGAACTTGCTATATAACAGGGGGACATGAACATAAGGCCTCCCTCTGCTCATGAAAACCAGCCCAGCTCCAAAGCTGCATCTCTCGGGGAGGATCCCAGTCCTGGATTCCCAGTTGGTCCCATTCAGTGACCAGCACTGAGCACAGACCACTCATCATGGAGTTGAGGTTGAGATGGGTTTTCCTTGTTGTTATTTTAAAAGGCGATTAATGGAGAATCACTGACATTGAGGGGACATGAGTGAAAGGAACAGTGGGTATTTGTGAGTTTTCTGAGCAGGATTCTCTATGTTTGCCAGTGTCCAGTGTAAAGTGCAGCTGGTGGAGTTTGGGGTAGCATTGGTGAGGCCTGGTGGGTCGCTGAGACTCTCCTGTGTAGCCTCTGGTTTCACTGTTCTGATTACTGCATGAAATGGGTCCTCCAGGCTCCTGGGAAAGGGCTGCAATGGGTCTCATCTATGAGTACAAAAAGTAGTTACATATACTATGCATACTCCGTGGAGGGCAGATTCACTATATCCAGAGATAATTCCAGAAGCTTTGCTTATTTGTAAATGAGTAGCCTGAGAGCAGAGGACACCGCCGTGTATTACTATGCAAAAAGCTCAATAAGAAGACTTGAGTGAGAGCCAGACATAAAGCTCCCTGCAGGTATGCTCATGACCAGCAGGGGGCGGGCATTGCACACTGAGCTGAGGGTCCACCCTAGCACAGCTGCAGAGAGAGGTTAAGTCTTATGCTTTCTCTCCATAGGACTGTTTCCCATAGGAGGTTCTGGTTTCCTGTTGCTATGCTTAAGCACTTATGTCTCTGAATTTAAAAATGTATTTTAATTAGATGATCCGCAGAACTTCATGTTAAGGGAAATAACCGAGACTCAGAATGAGAAGAATTTCATGTTTAATCTGATAAGTGGGATCTCTGGGGGAAAATAACATTGGAGCAGAAGGGAGAGAAGCAGAGAAGAAGAAGGAGACCAGGTTGTAGGAAAGGGGGAAACGCATATCTGGGGATCCATATGAGCAAGGTATACACAATTCATACATGAAATATCACTCTGAAATCATTACTATTTCAATGCATAACTTCATAGTTCTATGCAGTAATACAACTTTTAATAGGAAGACATGCTCACCTGTTTAAATGCCCAGGTGACCAGATCTTAAAGATGTTCATCAGATCCTTGTGAGTCATTTCCCATCAGAAAAGAAATCCCATGGAGGTCTCTTGGTTATGTCTCCGTGACTAGGACAGGGTGTGAGATTCAGACTGCATCCAAGACAGAAGTGAATTTAAATCTCAACCTCCCACACATGCATAATTGCACACATCAAGCTGAGAACGGATGGAATTTTCTGTTTCAACAAATCTTAGTTTTCCTTAAGTTTCATTCTCTCTGTTCCTCCTATTTTTCCTAGAGTGAAGGATATAATCTCCAACCTCAATACAAGGATAGAAGTACTTACCTGGACTTCACATGTAGTTTCTGCATGTCACATGGAAAGCTTCTGACAATGAAATCTTCACATTTACACACCACAAGGAACTGACACTGTCCTGTGTACCTCAGCTCATTTAGAACCATAAACATAAGCACTCGAAGGTAAGATGCCTTGATCAGGATGACATGTGGAGGTAGAACGAGTCTTATTCCTATTTGACTGTCACAGAGTCAGCTCCATTACCTGTGTCCTTAGGAGAGAGACTTAAGGACACCCAGGCCTTCTGTAACCACTCAGTCAAGGCAGTGGGCAGGTGCAACTCAATTAGTCCTATACACTTACATCTGACCATCAGAGACCAGCCTGGGAGTGTTGTGCAAATGACAAACCTGAGGCTATCATGGAATTTCATTTTCCTCAGTTCTGCTCTGAATAAATCAGACGCAGCCAGGGTGTATAGGGCAATCTTACTGACTTAGAGTGAATTGATGACCATGGGGTTCAACATGATCTGTTATATACCTTCACTGCAGTGCCATGGTTAGTGTGGTGTAGAATAATTGAAGCCTATATTTGATAAGTTGGCTCCTAGAATAGACAATTATGCATTTTATTTAATATTTCATGTTTGGCAGTAAAAACAGTTTCAGTTCACAAATACCTTTCTTAAAATTTTTAATACCAAGAGTCAAGTAAGAGAAAGACAAAATGGTGGATTAGGTTTGCAAATAATGCATTTTTAAGAAAATTCCCTTGTAAAGGAAAATGGAGATGGGATAACTGAGGTTTGAAAATCATCTTATGTCACATATGTCCCACTGGAACAGGAGGGATTTGGGATAAATTTTCTAGAATTCCAGGTTTCCTTTTGTGGGCCTGCATTAGTACCTGCACACCACTAAGCCAAGAGCAGGGGAAGTGTCAGGTTGTGCCTTCTGCACAACAGGAAGATGGCCTTCAGAAGGCTGTTGGTGGCTGGGTCTCTTACCTTCCCTATAGCTAGGGATATCACAGGTGCACCTCAGGAACCACTTGGGCATTCAGTTCACCTGCACATGTGAGTCAATGCCAGAGCATAGGAACAAAAAACAATTTTGGGTAATGTGAATACAAAACAATTTCCAAAGACTTCATAGGTCCTTTATGTAAATTAGGAGAATTATGGAAAAGATTTGCACAGATTGTGGAATAGGCACTGAAAAGAAGTCAGTGGGCTCCCAGACCAAATATCACTGCTGGGGTTCCCAGTGT